CCTCTAACCCCTCACACTATTCATACTCAATTTCTGTCCCCTTAGGGTCTTCTGATCACAACCTTATTTCTATTAAATCAAACTGGGCACGACCACCTGCCCCACCCCCCTCTAAACACCAACTATGGCACTATCGAAGGGCAAACTGGTAATCCTTGCGAGAATTCTTCACCGACTTTCCTTGGGATGAATGTTGCTTTTCCAATCGGGACGCCTCGGTATGTGCTGACAGCATTGCTGGTGTTATACAGGGCGGTATGAGTGCCTTTATCCCACCAAAACTTTCACATTACAATCATGGTTTGATCGCTCCTGCTCTCTTGCTTGCAGGGTGAGAGATAGGGCTTATCGAGCTATGAAACTATCTCCTTCTCCTATTACCCACACCACTTTCATTACTTCTAGGAATCGTTGTAAGACTATTCTTCGTAGGGCCAAGCGGAATTTTATTAAAAGACCGCTGTCCTGACTAATTCTTCCTCTAGTAAATCCTTCTGGTCCTTAACTAAAAACATCTGTAACAACTTCTGCACGCCTTCTTTTCCTCCCCTCTTCCGTCCCAATAACTCTATAGCCAACTCTCCCCCTGACAAAGCCAACCTCTTTGGCACCTTATTCTCCTCTAATTCCACCTTCGACGATTCCCACTCTATCCCTCCTACACCTGCACCTCCTACTGAACCTATGCACTTTCCTATAATCTCCACTCTCAGGGTTGCCGGTGTGTTATCCAAGTTGGATGTGAGTAAGGTGCATGGACTGGACAGAATGCCCCCTCGTGTTCTGAGGGAGTGTGCTGAAGCCCTGGCCCCTGTGCTTGCTCGCCTCTTTCGCCATTACTCAAAACCCAAACTTTTCCTTCTTCTTGGAAGCATGCCTTGGTTCAGCCCATCCCAAAGAAGGGTGACCATTCTAATCCCTCTAACTATTTTGAACTCCCATTTTCTCCGTCACCTTGAACGCCTTTCTCTTTTCCCGGATCACCGGTATGGCTTTCGCCAGGCCAGATCTACTGGTGATCTGCTCTCCTATTGCACCCATCTTTGGTCATCCTCTCTTAGGGATTATGGGGAACTTTTGTCGTGGCTCTCGACATCTCCAAAGCATTTGACAGGGTATGGCACAAGTCTTTACTATCTAAACTTCCCTCTTTTGGTTTCTCTCCCCCACTTTGTTTTCTCATCTCTAGCTTCCTTGAGAACCGATCCATGGCAGTTGTTGTCGAGGGATCGATTTCTCGCTCTTTCTCTACCAAAAGTGGTGTCCCACAGGGTTCTGTTCTTTCACCTACTCTCTTCCTTCTTTTTATTAAAGATTTACTTCACACTACAGTAGTACCCCGATTTACGCGGTCAATTGAACCCACAGGGTACCGCGGAAAGTGAAAACCGCGTAAAGTGAACAACAGAACATATGGGGTTAATTCCAATAGAGACTGGCCCGACCCCCAAACTCCACTTTTTCTGACACAATGCCTATGTTGTAGTAAAAATAACATCTAAATTTTATGGTGGTATGCTCACACAATTAATATTTAAGAGAAATACAGTCGCCAGGTTAATGTCCATTCAAATAATGGACTCAAATCCCCCCCCCTCTTCCCAGCTCACTGGCCCCTACCTCTCTGAGAAATGATTGGGTGAAACACTAGATTTTAACGTTTAGTAATAAATAATACCTCAGACTAAAGTTAGGATAATATAATTGACATTTCTGGATTCCTTGCAGGTCAGGGAATATTTTGAATGTAAACTTCATATATTTTGCACAAAAGATAAAATACTTGCTTTGTGTAAACCAAATTATTACATTAGATCTAAAATTTGTATGTCTAATGCAAAATCCATGATGTTTATATTCAAAATGATCATCATATTGTAAGAATTCCAGCAATGTAAATTATATTCTGGCCGGGTAATTTGTATGAATTTTATGAGCTAAATAAAAAAAAAAAAATTATACTTCACACGTATATGAGTAGATGCACCGCGGAACGGAACAGTTCTGGCAAGGTACCGCGTAAATGAGAAATCGAGAAATCGCGGAAAGTGAAACCATGTAAAGCGGAGTAATACTGTATTATGTGTGTGTATATATATATATATATATATATATATATATATATATATATATATATATATATATATATATATATATATATATATATATATATATATATATATATATATATAGGTTGACAACCCTTTATCCAAAATTCCTTAAAGCTCTGAAAACCAAAAGTTTTTTTTTGTGGGGCATTTTGTTTGTTTTTTTAACAGGGATTAGCCCACCCGGGCGTAGATCACTGACCCACATCAGGGCCTGGGGGACGAAAATGTAATAGTAATAATAATTATAATAATAATAATTATAATAATAATAATTATTCATAGTAAATAAATTTTTTTATAAAAATACACCAAAATAAAAAAATATGAGAACATTAATACAGGTTGTACCTCTCTAGTCCGGCATTCTGTGGTCCGGAAACTCCCATGGTCCGGAACGATTTTAGTTTGTCCAATAGGTAGATAGGCAGCTTTTTTTTTTTCTTTTTACTTATCTGAATTATTATTATTATTATTACAGGAGTATTAAATTTTTGCCCCTCAGGCCCAATGTGGGTCAGTGACCTATTCCCGGGTGGGCTAATCCCCTTAAAAAAAAAACCCGCGGGAAATTAAGGTTTGTTTACATCCGGCAGTTCGGCTGCTCTCTCTCTCTGCTTGTCTATACAGAGTACAACATTTAACCCTTCAATATATATGAGCAGTAAATAAGTGTTGCTTTCATATTCTTATGTAGAGTAATAACGATATGTTTTCACATGTGCGCACTTACATACGCGCAGTCTCACTTTTTTTTTACCATTAATGGTTAGCTACTTATATTGTTCCATTTATTAACATTAAATAACATTACAGGTACTTCAAACAACCATATTCATTTTTTTACATTAATTTTACTACAGCTAAAATCAGGGTCTTATTTTCTTCAGTTTTATATGTAGAACCAATCAGTCACTGGTTTTGTAAGCTTTAACATAAACAATGCCGGCAGCCGTCTCATCTCCTTTAATATTCCACGTACTATTAATAAATTGTATTGTTAATTTTGCACACACAAACATTAATTCAATAAAAACAAATTCAGAAACATTAATTAAAATATATATGAACAGTAAATAAGTGCTGCTTTCATATTCTTATGTAAAGTAATGACGATATGTTTTCACGTGTGCGCACTTACATACGCGATCTCTCTATTTTCTTTACCATTATCGTTACCCACTTCTATTGTTCCATTTATTAACATTAAATAACATTACTTAAAACAACCATATTAATTTTACTACAGCTACAGCCAAGGTCTTATTTTCTTCAGTTTTATATGTAGAACCCGTCAGTCACTGGTTTTGTAATCAACGAAAACAATGCTGTGTCATTTCCTCGTGTGTTTTAATATTCTACGTATTATTAATGAATTGTATTGCTCATTTTGCACACATAAACATTAATTCAATAAAAAAGACATTCAGTAATAAACAATAATGAATCTTTTGTACATAAGAGAAATGACGCTGTTTACACGATTATGCACGTTGTCTGCACGTTGGCAGGCCGTTCAAACCTGTCGAAATTCAAGTTTCCGCCGTCAAAATTTTTATTTATTTATTTTTTCTGTTCCAATAAAATATGTTAAGAATTAAAAACTCGCGAAATTTGAGAAGCTACTATACGACATTTAACCCTTCAATATGTCTTCAAAGAGACCATGATGCAGAGAAAGTGGTGCTAGTGCTTCCAAGCATAAGCACAAGTCACTATCTATCCAGGAAAAGGGTGAATTTCCATGGTCCGGCACCGGTCAGGTCCCGAGGTTGCCGGACTAGAGAGGTACAACCTGTACAACTAAAGCTGCCTCCCGAAAGTTGGGAATGCTGTACAGATGCCGCAACTACTTCACTCCTGAGCAGTTGCTCCAAGTATATAAGGGATTCATTCGTCCTAACTTGGAGTACTGCTCTCATATCTGGGGTGGCTCCTCTTCTGTCCAACTATTAGATAGGGTGGAATCAAAGGCATTTCGTCTTATTAACTCTCCTCCTTTAGTCGACAATCTCTCTTCCCTTTCTCTTCGCCGTAATGTTGCTTCACTCTCTCTCTCTTTTACAGGTACTTTAACGGGCAATGTTCGGCGGATTTGGCATCCTGTGTAGCGCCGACAAGGCCGTGGGTTCGTAACACACGTCTTGCCCTCGGTGCCCACCGTTTCTCTGTGGATATCGGTCACACGAGAAGAACCCGTTATAGTACCTCCTTCTTTCCTCACACAGACAAACTGTGGAATGCTCTGCCTTCTTCTGTGTTTCCATGCTCTTACAATCTGTCTCATTTTAAAAAGCTGGTTTTCCGGCATCTTCGTGGTGTAGATTAATACAGTATAACCTTTTTTTTTTTTTATATTTACAATTTTTCCGTCCCCGGCTCCGTGGTAGTTTGACCTGTGCCCGGGCGGCTAATTCCTCAGAAAAAAAATTGCCTGATGGAATTGTGATTTTTTTTATCCGACGAGCCGTAAGGATTTTTACTCACTACGGGCGAGTATGATTGGGCAACCCTGGTTGGTGACACACTCCTACCCAGTACACAGGGCAATGCACTCCTATTACAGTATTTATATTATGGGTAAACACTTTCAGTACGAAACAGTCATATCAGTGAAAACAGTTACCAACAACCACACTCACGTATGATTTTCCACAAACAGTCTAGAAAGCTGGGTTACGTCCACACCCCCATGGATTCACTTTTTTTTGGACTTTTGCATTCACCGGACTGGGATCTGCCACAATTAGTCAGATTTATTGAGGTTCTACTGTACAATATAAAGAGAGCAGACACTTTGTTAGCAAATGTGAAAAGATTGTCTTACTGTAAATTATATCTAAAACACTGTCAGTACATGGTAAGGAAGCATTATACAGTAGTGAGACCAACCTGCATATTAGCAAGAAGTCTTATGATTGTCTGTCTGTCCCTGCGGGCCCGTGCCTGGAGAGCATGAAGAGCTGCCTGCTGCTGGTCTGTGTATGTACGGATGTATGTTTCAACTTGTGATTCTGCCTTCTTGAGGAACCTTGACACCTAATATACAGAAGAAATATTAACTAGAAATTCAGCAAAGTTATATGCTATTTTGTACATTATATTTGTGTTTAACTGGTCAGACTACAGTAGGACAAATCCAAAAATGCAATTCTAAAACACCCCAAATCCAAGTTTCTCAAATTAAAATTATGTCACAGTATAAACCACATGATGCAGGAGAACCTAATGTTTCCGGATCTGAAAACTGCATCACGTAAGGTCGCTCAAGCACCCAGGACTCCCACTATACCATTCTTGATCAAATTATATTTGCTTCCAATTAAAGCTAGGATAGAGTTCAAACTCTGTCTTATACTTTTAAGACACCAGAGTAACATTTGGTGAGCCTAAGTATTTGGCCAACCTATTAATGCCACTGACTACACTTTCTGAAATCATTTTGCATAGTAGTGAAGACCTGTCATGCTTTGAGGAGCCTAGAGCAGAACAGGAATGTTCCTTTACTGCCTGATCCTTTTCCTATACAGCACCCAGATTGTACAATCAGTTGCCTGCATCAATGAAGCAAATGACTTCTGTAGAGGCCTTGAAGAAACATAGACCTTTCTTTGAAAGTTTATGAGCCTGAACAGGGTACAATGCTGGAGAATTACAGTTTAGGAAGTATTAAAACTTAAGCGTATAATAATGATAGAGGTCGAACTGCCACTTATTGTAGTACAGTACTCCCTCTTTATCGACGGATTTTTTATCGACGGTTTCGATTATCGACGGATTATTTAGCCGGATTTTTATTTTGGCTTTATTTGAACTGTGCTTGATATAATACATTCACGGAAATGTAATATTTTTGTTGAAATGACGTATGTATTACAGTGGAAAGTGGGATCAAATCGTGACGAAAACAATGACTTGCGCTTTCTTTCGTTCAAAAGATGTTACCGTAATCACTTTTCGAATGGTTTAGGTAAAAAACTGTTGTATTGTATTACAATAATATCCTAATATTACGATACCATATTTCTGAATATTTTCATTAAAATCCATCAAAATCATTTTCCTTGTCATCGTCTGCAGCACCAAACAGCTTCTCCCAGTCCTCTCCTTGAACAGGGCTAGAGGCTACGTGTTTTTCGAATCGTTTTCAGTTAAAAAATTATTACATCACACGTATATTTTACCTAAACTGCGCCTGAATGAATATATTCTCGGAAATAAATAGTAGTTTTGCTGAAACGTGATGTATTTCAATGTAAAATAGGATAAAATACATGACGAAAACAAAAGACTTTACCTAAGCTTCCAATGTTCTTGAGATGTTACTCGTTTTTTTAATAGTTTTCGGTTAAAATTCTGTTATATTACAATGATATTCTATTCATACTGTGCTTGATATAATACATTCACGGAAATGTAATATTTTTGTTGAAATGACGTATGTATTACAGTGGAAAGTGGGATCAAATCGTGACGAAAACAATGACTTGCGCTTTCTTTCGTTCAAAAGATGTTACCGTAATCACTTTTCGAATGGTTTAGTTAAAAAACTGTTGTATTACAATAATATTCCCTCCTAATTGACTTGAATAAATACTTGAATGGAAATATACAATATTTTTGTTGAAACTACCCGCGTTTCAGTGTAAAGTGTTGTAATAATAAATGGTAAACAATTTGCCTTGGGCATCTGGATTTTTGGACTTTTACTGTACTGTACACTGTTTTGTTTACTGTAAGGACCGATGTTCACTTCAATAAATGAAATCGTAAGTTTGCTAGTATTTTTGTCCACTTATTATATTATTATTTATACACTATTATTTAAGGTTATGTGTAAAGGAAACGCATTAATGCTTAAAGGTACATTTATTCAACATATGCTAATAATAGTTAGAAAAATTACGTAACCATCACGGTATCGACGGTTTCTTTATCGACGGCCGTTTACAGAACGTAACCCCCGTCGATAAAGAGGGAGTACTGTACAGTACTCTGTACAATATTTCTTATTATTCTCAAGTCTTGGACATTATAATGTTTCGAGCACAAATGAATTCTTTAGAAGAACTTGTGCTTTTGAGAAACAAAAGATCAGCTATTGTTATTATAAGACAATTCCTTCTTTTGATAAGGTCTGCAAATTAAGAATGTGGAAACTAATTATTAAGTTATGATACATGGAGGTACAGATTTTCATAAACTCAATTCTTTCCATCTGCAGAGACTATGTCCTCAAGTAACAATACATTTCCAAAAATCAGACTTAATTGTTTTAACCCTTAAGCCCCGAGTTAGGGTGCTGGTGGCAATACCCCCCCCCCCCACCCAGGGTTAAATAGAGAAAAATCAAATTTTCCAAAAATAATTTTTTACCTTTTAAAATGATAAAACAATAAAAAATAAGTAAGAAAAACTATATATTGACCCTCGAGAAACTTCCCTGGCAGTGCGGAGGGAGGGAGGGAGGGAGGAGGGGGAGATAAAGAGACAGTGTTGGTTTGACAGCTGACGCTCATGGTCCCTATGCATTTAGCAACTATTTTTAGCTCGACTTTGTGTCCGGGGTGGCCAATAATGTATGTATTTACTGATCTTAATAATTATTTGCTACAAATAATTCATTTAGAATATTTTATTTGCATAATTTTTCATAAAAGAGTGCTTGGCTACAATCACCAGTGGGTCGCCAGTCTACCTGGCTGTCTTTGTGTTTGGTAGAGCATAAAATAATAATAATTCCACAAAAAAAAAATTTATAACATAATCATAGCATTGTTTTACAGTAGTACCCCGATTTACGCGGTCAATTGAACCCACAGGGTACCGCGGAAAGTGAAAACCACGTAAAGTGAACAACAGAACATATGGGATTAATTCCAATACAGACTGGCCCGACACAATACCTATGTTGTAGTAAAAATAACATCTTAATTTTATGATGGTATGCTCACACAATTAATATTTAAGAGAAATACAGATGCCAGGTTAATGTCCATTCAAATAATGGACTCAACCCCCCCCCTTCCCAAGCTCGCTGGCTCCTCCCTTTCTGAGAAATGTTTGGGTGAAAACACTAGATTCAAGGTAAAGTAATAAATAATACCTCAGACTAAAGTTAGGATAATATAATTGACATTTCTGGATTCCTTGCAGGTCAGGGAATATTTTGAATGTAAACTTTATATATTTTGCACAAAAGATAAAATATTTGCTTTGTGTAAACTAAATTATTACATTAGATCTAAAATTTGTATGTCTAATGCAAAATCCATGATGTTTATATTCAAAATGATCATCATATTGTAAGAATTCCAGCAATGTAAATTATATTCTGGCCAGGTAATTTGTATGAATTTTATGAGCTAAGTAAAAAAATTATACTTCACCCGCGTATATGAGTAGATGCACCCGTAAAATGAAATTCCGGTTGTGGCGACGTACCGCGTAAATGTAGAATCACGTAAAGCGAAACTACTTAAATCGGGGTATTACTGTACACAACTTTTATCAATATTACTTTGATACAACATGATAAAATGGACAATGAAAATGAAACAAACAAAAGTAGGTAATTATGTTCAGGAAGCTTCCCTGTGGCCGAGCGTGTGGTGTGACAGGCAAATAGTCACACTGGAACCTGATAACCCGCGCTGGGCATTTAAACAGTGGCAGGAATAGGAGCACGTTCTGGAACGTCACCCAGGGCCTAAAGGTTGAGGCTGATAAAATTCCTGTCTTTTGGTATAAGGAAAACAACCTCCTTCAGGTCTATAATCAAGGCATCAGCACCTGATGGTGCCCCTAATTCTGTTTCTTCTGGCTCTACTCCCAGGGACACAAGTTGCCATAAATCTTATTTGTACTGGCTACTGCCTATTGACTGGGTGGGGCTCCGACCCAGGACTTGTTCCATTTGTAGCAGATGTATTCCTCATTCAAATTTTCCTTTTGTTGCTTGACAGACTCTTCTTGGAGGACATTCTATTGCCTCCTCCTAGCCTGAGGTTTATCACTCCTATGAACATACTGTCTTCACATTCTTTAACTTAAAAGATAAGTCTCTATGATGTATAGCTCTTTCTATAGTTGGCTCTAAATAGTCTATCCAGGATTCCATAATGGAGACAGACTTCTTTCCTCAGGATGAAGAATGTATTCCATGGTCAAGTAACTGGGTTACTTAACGGCAGATTGATGCCAGAATTATTCTCAAGCAATTCAATTTCTTTCAGTGTTACAAATTGTTTCATTCTGTTTCACATCTCACCAACCTATGCCAGATCTGCTACCTAAGTGTAACAATAACCGATGCTTCTATAGTAGGTGGTTTACCGAGCCGGAGTTGGTCTACCGGGATATTTACACTATAGCGTCTATTAACCCAAACTAACCTAACCTAACTTAATGTTAGGTTAGGTTAGGTTACTGGATGTTACAGTGTAAATATCCAGGTATACACACCTCCAGCTCAATAGACCGCATGCTATAATAGCTCCAGTTTGGCAGACCGCATGCTATAATAGCTCCAGTTTGGCAGACCGCATGCTATAATAGCTCCAGTTTGGCAGACCGCATGCTATAATAGCTCCAGTTTGGCAGACCGCATACTATAGTAGCTCCAGCTCGGTAGACCACATACTATAGGAGCCACAGCTCGGTAGACCACATACTATAGTAGCTCCAGCTCAGTAGACCACATACTATAGAAGCCACAGCTCGGTAGACCACATACTATAGTAGCTCTGGCTCGGTAGACCGCAGACTATAGTAGCTCCAGCTCAGTACACCGCATACTATAGTAGCTCCAGCTCAGTAGACCACATACTATAGAAGCCACAGCTCGGTAGACCACATACTATAGTAGCTCCAGCTCGGTAGACCACATACTATAGTAGCTCCAGCTCAGTACACCGCATACTATAGTAGTTCCAGCTCAGTACACCGCAGACTATAGTAGCTCCAACTCGGTAGACCGCAGACTATAGTAGCTCCAGCTCAGTACACCGCATACTATAGTAGCTCCAGCTCAGTAGACCACACACTATAGTAGCTCCAGCTCCGTAGACCACATACTATAGTAGCTCCAGCTCAGTACACCGCATACTATAGTAGCTCCAGCTCAGTACACCGCAGACTATAGTAGCTCCAGCTCAGTAGACCGCAGACTATAGTAGCTCCAGCTCAGTACACCGCATACTATAGTAGCTCCAGCTCGGTAGACCGCATACTATAGTAGCTCCAGCTCAGTACACCGCATACTATAGTAGCTCCAGCTCGGTAGACCACATACTATAGTAGCTCCAGCTCAGTAGACCACATACTATAGAAGCCACAGCTCGATAGACCACATACTATAGTAGCTCAAGTCGGTAGACTGTATACTATAGTAGCTCCAGCTCGAAGACCACATATTATAGTAGCTTCAGGCTCAGGTAGACCGCGAGATACCATAGTAGCCCCAGCCTCGGTAGACCGTGATACTACAGTAGCTCAAGTCGGTAGACTGCATACTATAGAAGCCCAGCTCGAAGACCAAATACTATAGTAGCTTCAGCTCAGTAGACCAAGATACTATAGTAGCTCCAGCTCAGTAGACCGTGATACTATAGTAGCTCCAGCTCGGTAGACCCAGATACTACAGTAGTCAAGTTTGGTAGACTGCATACTATAGTAGCTCCAGCTGGAAGACCACATACTATAGTAGCTTCAGCTCAGCAGAATCACATACCATAGTAGTTCCAGCTCAGCACACTGCACACTATAGTAGCTCCAGCTCGGTAGACCCACACTACAGTAGCTCAAGTCGTGTACTATAGTAGCTCCAGAGACCACATACTATAGTAGCTTCAGCTCAGTAGACCGCAGATACTATAGTAGCTCCAGCTCAGTAGACCGCAGAGATACTATAGTAGCTCCAGGTAGACCACATACTATAGTAGCTCCAGCTCAGACCACATACTATAGTAGCTCCAGCCTCGGTAGACCACATACTATAGTAGCTCCAGCTCGGTAGACCGTGAGACTATAGCAGCCCAGGCTCGACAGACCACATACTATATTGTTCCTAAGCGTACACCACATACTATAGTAGCTCCAGCTCAGTAGACCACATACTATAGTAGTCTAGCTCAGTAGACCAAGATACTATAGTAGCTCCAGCTGGGTAGACCACATACTATAGTAGCTCCAGCTCAGTAGACCACATACTATAGTAGCTCCAGCTCAGCACACCGCATACCATAGTAGCTCCAATCCTCAGTACACTGCATACTATAGTAGCTCCAGCTCAGTAGACCACATACTCTATAGTAGCTCCAGCCAGTAGACAACATACTATAGTAGCTCCAGCTCGCAGACCACATACCATAGTAGCTCCAGCTCAGACCGTGATACTATAGTAGCTCCAGCTCAGAGACCACATACTATAGTAGCTCCAGCTCAGTAGACCGTGATACTATAGTAGCTCCAGCCTGCAGGACCACATACCATAGTAGCTCCAGCTCGGCATCACATACTATAGTAGTCTATCGAGACCACACATAATTATAGTAGCTCCAGTCAGTAGACCACATACTATAGTAGCTCCAGCTCAGTACACTGCATACTATAGTAGCTCCAGCTCAGCACACTGCATACCAGTTCCAGCCTGTAGACCACATACTATAGTAGCCCAGCCAGCACACCTTGGCTACTATAGTAGCTCCAGCTCAGTACACTGCATACTATAGTAGTTCCAGCTCGGTAGACCACATACCATAGTAGCTCCAGCTCAGTACACACTGCATACCATAGTAGCTCCAGCTCAGTACACTGCATACTATAGTTCCAGCTCGGGTAGACCACATACTATAGTAGCTCCAGCTCAGTGCATACTGTATACTATAGTAGCTCCAGCTCAGTACACTGCACACTATAGTAGTTCCAGCTCGGTAGACCACATACTATAGTGCTCCAGCTCAGCACACTGCATACCATAGTAGTTCCAGCTCAGTACACGTATACCATAGTAGCTCCAGCTCAGCACACTGCATACCATAGTAGCTCCAGCTCAGTAGACCACATACTATAGTAGCTCCAGCCTCGGTAGACCACATACCATAGTAGCTCCAGCCTGCAGACTACATACTTTAGTAGCTCCAGCTCAGTACACTGCATACCATAGCCCAGCTCAGCACACTGCATAACATAGCTCCAGCCCGGTAGACCACATACTATAGTGGCTCCAGCTCGGTAGACCACATACCATAGTAGCTCCAGCTCAGTAGACCACATACTATAGTAGTTCCAGCTCAGAGACCACACACCATAGTAGCTCCAGCTCAGTACACTGCATACCATAGTAGCTCCAGCTCAGCACACTGCATACCATAGTAGTTCCAGCTCGGTAGACCACACACTACAGTAGCTCCAGCTCAGTACACTGCATACTATAGTAGCTCCAGCTCAGTACACTGCATACTATAGTAGTTCCAGCTCGGTAGACCACATACTATAGTAGCTCCAGCTCAGTACACTGCATACTATAGTAGTTCCAGCTCAGTACACTGCATACTATAGTAGCTCCAGCTCAGTACACTGCATACTATAGTAGCTCCAGCTCAGCAGACCACATACATAGTAGCTCCACAGCCTCGGTGGACCACATACTATAGTAGCTCCAGCCTGAGACTACACACTTAGTAGCTCCAGCCCAGCACACTGCATACCATAGTAGCTCCAGCTCAGCACACTGCATACTATAGTAGCTCCAGCTCGAGCAGACCACATACCAGTAGCTCCAGCTCGGTAGACCACATACCATAGTAGTCTTGCTCAGTAGACCACATACCATAGTAGCTCCAGCTCAGCATATTAGCTGCATACCATAGTAGCTCCAGCCAGTACACTGCATACCATAGTAGTTCCAGCTCAGCACACTGTACACTATAGTAGCTCCAGCTCAGTACACACTGCATACTACAGTAGCTCCAGCTCAGGCACACTGCATACCATATAGTAGCTCCAGCCCAGTACACTGCATACTCATAGTAGCTCCAGCTCAGGGGCAGACCACATACCATAGCAGCTCCAGCCTGGGGCACACCGCACACATAGTAGCTCCAGCTCAGTACACCTGCACACCATAGTAGTTCCAGCTCAGTACACTGCATACCATAGTAGTCTAGTCAGGGGGGCACACACTGCATACTATAGTAGTTTGTGCCTCATGCACCCCATACTATAGTAGCCTGCTTTGGTAGACCACACATACTATAGTAGCTCCAGCTCATACACTGTACACATAGTAGCTCCAGCTCGGTAGACCACATACTATAGTAGCCCAGCTCAGTACACTGCATACTATAGTAGCTCCAGCTCAGCACACCGTGATACTATAGTAGCTCCAGCTCAGCACACTGCATACCAGGTAGTCTAGCTCGGTAGACCACATACCATAGTAGCCCAGCCTGTAGACCACATACTATAGTAGTCTAGCCTGGTAGAGACCACATACTATAGTAGTTCAGCCTGCAGAACACACACATAGTAGCTCCAGCTCAGTACACTGCATACCATAGTAGCTCCAGCTCAGTACACTGCATACCATAGTAGTTCCAGCTCAGTACACTGCATGCTCATAGCTCCAGCTCAGTAGACCACATACTATAGTAGCTCCAGCTCAGTACAATCAAAGACACTATAGTAGCTCCAGCCTCAGTAGGACCAGCATACTACAGTAGCTCCAGCTCAGCACACCACATACCATAGTGCAGCCCAGCTCAGTAGACCACATGTATTATAGTAGCTCCAGCTCACACCGCATGCCTGCAGTAGCTCCAGCTCAGCACACTGCATACTATAGTAGTTCCAGCTCAGTACACTGCATACCAGTAGCTCCAGCCCGGTAGGACCACATACTATAGTAGCTCCAGCTCAGTACACTGCATAAATTAAGTAGCTCCAGCTCGGTAGACCACATACTATAGGCCCAGGCTCAGTAGGACCCATACCATAGTAGCTCCAGCTCAGTAGACCGTGATACTATAGTAGCCCAGCTCGGTAGTATCTCACATACTATAGTAGCTCCAGCTCAGTAGACCGCAGACACTATAGTAGCTCCAGCTCAGTAGACCGCATACTATAGTAGCTCCAGCTCAGTAGACCCAGATACTATAGTAGCTCCAGCTCGGGTAGACCACATACTATAGTAGCTCCAGCTCGGTAGACCACATACTATAGTAGCTCCAGTCGTAGACCACATACTATAGTAGCTCCAGCTCAGTACACCGCATACTATAGTAGCTCCAGCTCGGTAGACCACATACTATAGTAGCTCCAGCTTGATAGACCGTGATACTATAGTAGCTCCCAATAACCATTCTAAACGAAGATCAAGTGTGGAAAAGCCAATGCAAAAATTATATAGTGAGGATTATTGAATAAAGACACTTTATTACAAGAAATACATTCAATGAAAAATTGTAGCAGTGCCACATGCATTACCTGTTGCTGAATGACACAAAGAGCTTCTTCAGTTTGGGGTGATCGTTCGTCGTAAAAATCAGTGGGTGAAAGAGGAGGCAGTGGGCGATTATCTAATGAAGTGGGTAGAACCATACAAAACACAGGAGAGTAGCCTTCACTTCTCTGTAACATCTGGATCTTGCTGGGATCACTCTGAGGGGAGAAATATAATTACTCTTTCATATTTTGTATCCATCTATACATATTCAATATCCTGCACAAAATACACAGTATTCTATTTACTGCAATATAATACAGGTTGACAACCCTTTATCCGAAATTCCAAAAACCGAAAGTTTTTGTGGAGTATTTTTTTTTTTTTGTATTAGCCCACCCGGGCACAGGTCACTGACCCACATTGGGGCCTGGGGGGTGAAAATGTAATAGTAATAATAATTATAATAATAATAATAATAATGATAATACAGTAATAATAATAATTATTCATAGTAAATAAAAATTTTAAGAAAAAATACACAAAAATAAAATAAGAATGATAACAATAATAATAATAACAATAATACTATAATAATAATAAAGAAATACAAGAATGAAAAAAAGATCAAAAGTGAGAAACACGACCTAGACCTATGAATTATTGTTATTATTATTATTATTATTATAATTATTATTATTATTATATTTTGGCCCCCAGGCCCCAATGTGGGTCAGTGACCTGTGCCCGGGTGGGCTGATCCCTGTAAAAAAAAAAAAAAAAAAAAAACTAACCATTCTGAAAACCGAACAATTCCAAAAACCGAAATGCATCTGGTCCCAAGGATTTCGGATAAGGGATTGTCAACCTGTACCATTATTTGCTCAATAATATAATACTGTATACAGTACAGTCGACCCTCGTTAATTCGGACTAATAGGGGGAGGAGGGTGTCCGTTTTAGCCGATTGTCCGAATTAACCGATTTAGGGGTTAAAATTGCATTATATTTCAAAGTCATTGTTTTCGTCACAATTTTATCCCACTTTCCACTGTAATACGTACGTAATTTCAGCAAAAATATTACATTTCCGTGAATGTATTATATCAAGCACAGTATGAATAGAATATCATTGTAATATAACAGTATTTTAACCAAAAACTATTAAAAAAACGAGTAACATCTCAAGAACATCGGAAGCTTAGGTAAAGTCTTTTGTTTTCGTCATGTATTTTATCCTATTTTACATTGAAATACATCACGTTTCAGCAAAACTACTATTTATTTCCGAGAATATATTCATTCAGGCACAGTTTAGGTAAAATATACGTGTGATGTAACAGTTTTTTAACTGAAAACGATTCGAAAAACACGTTCCCTCTAGCCCTGTTCAAGGAGAGGACTGGGAGAAGCTGTTTGGTGCTGCAGACGATGACAAGGAAAATGATTTTGATGGATTTTAATGAAAATATTCAGAAAGCGTAAAGTCATTGTTTTCGCTAGATTTTATCCTACTTTCCACTGTAATACGACGTTATTTCAGAAAAATATTACATTTCCGTGAATGCATTATATCAAGCACAGTATGAATAGAATATCATTGTAATATAACAGTATTTTAACCAAAAACTATTTAAAAACGAGTAACTTCTTCTTGAACATCGGAAGGTTAGGTAAAATCTTTTGTTTTCGCCATGTATTTTATCCTATTTTACATTAAAATACATCACGCTTCAGCAAAACTACTATTTATTTCCGAGAATATATTCATTCAGGCACAGTTAAGGTAAAATATACATGTGATGTAACAGTTTTTTAACTGAAAACGATTCGAAAAACACGTACACCGTAGCTGATACTCAACAGCTGGTGGTAGGCCATGTGTCGCTGTAAACAATAGGAGGTTGAAGTAGATTACCGGTATTATATTAAGCGTGAAATATCAAAAGGTTTTATTACTGGGTATTTTTGTAGATCAATGAGAACTGTGATACCTGTGATATGATATGATAAGTTAGCCTATGCTAAGAACTTCAACATAGACTACTGAAACACGCTGAAAGGTAATTTAGCCTATTGTAAGTTGATGAGCTTCATTTGCTGAAGGAACTGCACAACCTTTTCATTACTATTTGGTACATATTTTACGTTTCCATTGTTTACTGGCAGTAAATGGTAAATATTTTTCATGTCTGAAGCTAAAAGTTGCATCCCCCACACTAGTGGTGGAGATGTTACATTTAACCAAAAGACGCTGGTGTTTTATCCCAGCAGTGGGTGGACCAGTATTCTAGCTTAAGGTCCACGTAGGTAATATTCCTACAAATCTATGAAAAAAAAAAAAAAAAAAAAAAGTTCAGATTTTGTCCGAATTATCCAAAATCCGGATTAAAGGGGACCAAATTAACGAGGGTCGACTGTATATACTCCCTTCATTCAGAGATGTGCCGAAGTATCGGTATCGGTGGTATCGGTTAATTTTGGATGTACAGTATCGGTGAAAATTGGGCCAATACCAGACAATACTTTCACAACATTTCAAAAAGTGGAATACAGTAGTACCCCGATTTACGCGGTCAATTGAACCCACAGGGTACCGCGGAAAGTGAAAACCGCGTAAAGTGAACAACAGAACATATGGGATTAATTCCAATAGAGACTGGCCCGACCACCAAACTCCACTTTTTCCGACACAATACCTATGTTGTAGTAAAAATAACATCTAAATTTTATGATGGTATGCTCACACAATTAATATTTAAGAGAAATACAGTCGCCAGGTTAATGTCCATTCAAATAATGGACTCAAATCCCCCACCCCCTCTTCCCAGCTCACTAGCTCCTACCTCTCTGAGAAATGATTGGGTGAAAACACTAGATTTTAACGTTTAGTAATAAATAATACCTCAGACTAAAGTTAGGATAATATAATTGACATTTCTGGATTCCTTGCAGGTCAGGGAATATTTTGAATGTAAACTTCATATATTTTGCACAAAAGATAAAATATTTGCTTTATGTAAACCAAATTATTACATTAGATCTAAAATTTGTATGTCTAATGCATAATCCATGATGTGTATATTCAAAATGATCATCATATTGTAAGAATTCCAGCAATGTAAATTATATTCTGGCTGGGTAATTTGTATGAATTTTATGAGCTAAAACAAATATCTTCACTAAATAAACCTTCAAGACACTATCTGTCAATCAAAATACCCCACCTCCGGCTTCCCCCCCTCTTCCCAGGATCGCTGGGTCCCTCTCTCCCTCCCTCCCTACGCCCCACCTTCCCTCCCTACCAGAGAAATGTTTGCGAGAAAATAGTAATTTACATTTTTAGTAATAAATAATAACTCAGACTAAAGTTAGGATAATATAATTGACATTTCTGGATTCCTTGCAGGTCAGGGAATATTTTGAATGAAAACTTCATATATTTTGCACAAAAGATAAAATACTTGCTTTGTGTAAACCAAATTATTACATTAGATCTAAAATTTGTATGTCTAATGCAAAATCCATGATGTTTATATTCAAAATGATCATCATATTGTAAGAATTCCAGCAATGTAAATTATATTCTGGCCGGGTAATTTGTTTGAATTTTATGAGCTAAATAAAAAAAATAAAAATTATACTTCACGCGTATATGAGTAGATGCACCGCAGAAAGTGAAAGTCCGGTTCTGGCAAGGTACCGCGTAAATGAGAAATCGCGGAAAGTGAAACCGTGTAAAGCGGGGTAATACTGTAATTTAAATTTGCCATAATAAGAAAATTAAACAAATTATCAATTATACAGTATCTATTGTAGTAACTGCACAGACGACATGGAGATACAGTAATATCCCCGTTAGCTGGAACAATTGGTGCAGAGCACTTCCGGGGATGAGAGATTTCCGGGTAACCAGACGACTTTCTCAAACATGGAAAAATTCCTTATCCCGGAACCTTTTCCGGTTACTGGGAAAAGTTTCCGAGTGTCTAAACTAAATATCTTGCACAGACAGACACTAGCCCACAGCCCCAGAACATTTCTGGGTGCTGGGCATGTTTTCCTCGAATCTAAACTACCAGAGTTTGCAAATGCAGCTCTAATTAAGTTAGAAACTCCATTTCTTTTCTATAATAATCCAAAATAGTAATCTAAAATTTTGGTAACATAAACATATTTAAAAATTAAAAATCTATATGATATGGGCATGAATGAAGCTGTGTGTTACAACGAAGACAGGTAATTTCCACTCCTATGGAGCTGTGGGAGATTAGTGGGTCTCGTGTACCTGACCTGACCTGATGCAATGTCAGGTGGAGGATTAGTGGTCTCATATTACTGACCTGATGGAATGTCAGGTCAACGTTTCTTAGTTGGGGGATTAGTGGGTCTCATTGTAATGACCACGGTCATACACGTCAGTTAACGTAAAATCAGACGATTCATATTACGCTCAATAGCCCACAAAACATGTAGCTATACTTTCTTTATTTGAGTCCCCCGTCTGAGGAGTCCGTTTTCTCATCACTTCAGGATGTCTGAGTCCTCCATTTTCCTCAACTTTAGAGTACAGTAGTCAATTGAACCCACGGGATACCGCGGAAAGTGAAAACCGCGTAAAGTGAACAACAGAACATATGGGATTAATTCCAATAGAGACTGGCCCAACCTCCAAACTCCACTTTTTCCGACAATACCTATGTTGTAGAAAAAATAACATCTAAATTTTATGATGGTATGCTCACACAATTAATATTTAAGAGAAATACAGTCGCCAGGTTAATGTCCATTCAAATAATGGACTCAAATTCCCCCCCCCTCTTCCCAGCTCACTGGCCCCTACCTCTCTGAGAAATGATTGGGTGAAACACTAGATTTTAACGTTTAGTAATAAATAATACCTCAGACTAAAGTTAGGATAATATAATTGACATTTCTGGATTCCTTGCAGGTCAGGGAATATTTTGAATGTAAACTTCATATATTTTGCACAAAAGATAAAATAATTGCTTAGTGTAAACCAAATTATTACATTAGATCTAAAATTTGTATGTCTAATGCAAAATCCATGATGTTTATATTCAAAATGATCATCATACTGTAAGAATTCCAGCAATGTAAATTATATTCTGGTCCAGTAATTTGTATGAATTTTATGAGCTAAAACAAATATCTTCAGTTAATAAAAAAAAAATATTCTTCATGACACTATCTGTCA